TAGACATAAAGTTGATATTATTTTCTGGATTCTTTGTTAGTAGCCAAAATTGAACTAACCTTTGTCTGGGTACCTTATTCATACAGCCTTCTTTCCTCTAAACTCTGTCTGCCAGATTTAAGTTGGCACATTGACTAAACACAGGGAACTACGAACAAGAGCAAGATTATCACAAAGTGATGACTCAAGGTGTCTAAAGTATGGACTTTGTCACATGGCCCAGTTGGGCTGTTCTATCTCACCGGCTTTTGCCAGCGAAAAAGAAGGTGTGCAGGGTGAGACATGGTGCCCCGTGCACCCTCACTCCTCCACTCATCACACTCCTTCCCATCACATGGCAGAAAGGGTGGCAATGCGCAACAGAGCTACCCGCACAATGCTTTCCTCTACATAGTCAAAATGTTTATTATGTGATGTTTTATGTGCATTTTCTGTTGTAAATCTATGTTGTCATCATTTTATATGTTTATGCATTGTTTATTTTATGTCCAGCACTTGGAGTGCTTTTGTGAGCCACCACGAGTCCCTTCGGGGAGATGGTGGCAGGGTATAAAAAATATTATTATTGTCGAAGGCTTTCACGGCCGGGATCACTGGGTTGTTGTAGGTTTTTCCGGGCTATATGGCCATGTTCTGGAGGCAATTTTTCTCCTGACGTTTCGCCTGCATCTATGGCAAGCATCCTCAGAGGTAGTGACCTCACTGCCTCTGAGGATGCTTGCCATAGATGCAGGCGAAACGTCAGGAGAAAAAAATTGCCTCCAGAACATGGCCATATAACCTGGAAAAACCTACAACAACCCATTATTATTATTATTATTATTATTATTATTATTATTATTATTATTAATAATAATAATAGTTTGCCTCTGCTTTGGGGGGAAAGTGGATGTGGCCTGCTGTGCGTCATGTGATGACACATGGCAGGCCCCATCAAAGCCACACATGAAGGCAGCAAAGTGAGGCATTTTTGCCTCATGTGAAGAGGAAGTAAGAGAGACAAAATGTAAGAAACTACAACATTTCAGTTTCGGTCTGGAAAACTCATTGAATACAGCAGGTATGAAGCACTAGTCAACAAGCAACCTTTAGCCAGTGGAAATTCTAATCACTTTTTCTGTTTCTGTTTATCCAGAAATGCTTCGTCTGTCTGTGCTTCTGCCCTTGGCTGCTGTACTACAACACGCTTTGGGACAGGTATTGCTTCATATGAGCCTTAAGACTTAAGATCATCAGTCAAGCATTCATTGATAGTCAAAGATCAGTTCACATAGGCTTCATCTACACTGATCATTAAATGCAAGCTTCAAACTGCATTTGGGACAGCAAACTCCCACACAAACCTGTGAAAAAAAGTGCTCTGTGGTTTGTGTAGTCACCATTTAGGCCGCAAACTGCTTCTAGGATTTTCTATGCAACATCTGCACAGTGAAATCACTTTCTTTAATACCAGTTTGAAATGGAATTAAATAGCCAGTGTAGATGTGCCCATAGCTATTTCTGACACGGAAAGAAAAGATGGTGATTATCTGATCATTTACTACAAAGTCAATGGCAACATTCTAAAAGTAATTGTTCGACAATTTCAGACTACAATGCTGGGAAATATCTTCCCACTAATCTATTGATAGAGTCCCCGGTGGGGCATTGGGTTAAAGCACTGAGCTGCTGAGCTTGTTGATCGAAAGGTCGCAGGTTCGATTCCGGGGAGCGGCGTGAGCTTCCGCTGTCAGCCCTAGCTTCTGCCAACCTAGCAGTTCAAAAAGATGCAAATGTGAGTAGATCAATAGGTACCGCTCCGGCGGGAAGGTAACAGCGCTCCATGCAGTCATGCCGCCACATGACCTTGGAGGTGTCTACGGACAATGCTGGCTCTTCGGCTTAGAAATGGAGATGAGCACCACACCCCAGAGTCAGACATGACTGGACTTAATGTCAGGGGACTACCTTTACCTAATCTATTGATCCTAGATTTCCTGGTGGTTTTTAAAATCATTGTTATCAAGAAATCAGTCACCCCAATAATATAAGTTATATAAAATAGCTCCAGTGGAAAATATAGCCTGTCAGATCCGGTATTCCAATTTTCTCTATCTATTTCGCATGATATGATCTAGGACCTCAACAGATGGGGTGAATTTAGCATCCTATGATGCTAATGGGTGGAGCCCCACATTGTATGACATCAGGTGGAGGCTCCACACCCAACCCACTGCCCAGGCATGTAGCGGGGGGGGGGGGTTGAGGGGCTTCAGCCCCCCCCCAAATTCTCATGGTGGTCCGCGAGAAGGCCTTACTGGTACATTATTTAAACTGTTATGTTTATTCATATCATGATCTGATCACCATGCTCAATATATCCCATATGCATGGGGGTATTGGGGTAATGATACAAAAGGTTTGCTAGGGTAGACCCTCTTTCTCTCAGACTCAGCCCCCCCCCCCATCAAACTCAGCCCCCCCCCCCCCCCCGAATAAAAGTCCTGGCTACGGGCCTGCCACTGCCCTTCCAATTTGGGAGGCCTTGTTGGGAGGGCAATGCTTTCCCCATGTGATGGGGAAAGCATGATGGAGAGCTGGCTGCTCTGGGATACAGTCAGCCCTGGTGCCACTTAACCAGTACAGTGCAATGAGCAAATAAGTTTGCTTTTGGGAGTTTCTACAGATGACAACTGAATGATGGAAGGGAGACATTTTTAAAGTGGAAAACCACTCACTAACATTTTCTTTCTTTCTTTAAAGGCTATCTTGAGTAAAATGTCTCCCAAAAAACAACAGGAAATCCTTGATAATATTAATGAGATCAGAAAAAATGTGGAACCCACTGCAAGCAATATGATGAAAATTGTAAGACATCACCTTTACTGATTTTTTTCAAGAGCTCTATTTGCATGTACATTTATCTAGATAATGTGCAGTTGTAATATAGGGGAACAGTGCATCCAAATGCTTTTATTGGTAAGACTCAAAATGTAGGGGAGGTGTATCAGCTTCAACTATCCTTTTCCTGAAGCCTTATTGCACAGCTCCTCCCATTCTTGATGTCCCCTCAAAACCAAGAATTGGCAGGAAGTCTATTTGTAATCTTGAAAAAGTAGATTTTTAAAATGTTGAGCAGTGTAGGAAAGCTCTCCTTTTATTTAAAATTTAAGCTGTCATTCCGAGGGACTTTCAGGGGTAATCCATCTTGAGTAGAGAAAGCGCACTCAGGACTCATCAAGACAAACACATATCTCAGGACCTGTCTTAGTTTTTACTGGAAGTGTTCAAACGATGCTTCTGGTAAAAACACATTAATTCAGAAACCTGGTTTCCCTAGTTTGTCCCGAATTAACTAAATACCTGGTCTTACCAGATGTGGACCCTGTGGGGATTGGACCCGGAAACTACGTCACGTGATTCCTGGGCCCAATCCATATAGCCATCTAGGTTTTTTTGGGCTCCTATAGCCGAAAAGACTGATAGGGCACCCACCCCTCTCCCTGCAATCTCCCAATGTATCCCTAAACGTAAAGTAAAAAGTACCTGGCCACCATAAGTTTTCCTCCTTGCCACCCCTCTCCTGGTGCATCATTTGCTTGCACCAGGAGGGCATCCAGAGGGAACTTACAGCAGCCAGGTACTTTTAACTTTACTTTTAGGGATAAATTCGGGGACTTCAGGGTGGCTGCTTGCCATCCCTATTTTAATCAGAATGGCATGTAGCCAACCTCCCTCCCAAAGGAAAGCCTTTAAATCTAGTAAAATTCACTGGATCATCATAAGTCAAAAGGCAACTTAAAGGCACATACAGATGCCAATATTTGGTGAATGTGCAGTAAACAGTAATTATTAATTGATTGTTTGATGCCTTTGGTGTAGCTCTATTAATATGTAAAGTTATTTGTAAATGTTATTGTCTTGTAATTGTTATCGAACTATCCTGAAATGCTCTTTTGTTTGGTTTGGTTTGGGTTGTTGTTGTTTTTCCATGTCAAGAGTGACTTGAGAAACTGCAAGTCGCTTCTGGTGTGAGAGAATTGGCTGTCTCCAAGGGTGTTGCCCAGGATGTTTTTATCATCCTTGTGGGAGGCTTCTCTCATGTCCTCACATAGAGAGCTGGAGCTGATAGAGGGAGCTTAGTACTGCCATAGAACGTAGCATTTACTGTGCATCAATGGATGATAATGCTACAGCAAAAACTTTCTTTTCTTTTTCTTGTCTTGCTAAGGTATGGAGTGCTCAAGCTAGTGAAAGTGCTGGAAGATGGGTTAGTCAATGTCAATTTAGAAATAGTCCCAAAGAAGAACGGACTTCAAATAGTAAGTTATAACACTACACCTTATGAGACATGGAAGTGAATTCAAGGAGTGGCTTAAAGAGCTGCAAAGGTTTAGCTTGCAGAAGAAGAGGGTGAGAGGAGACATGTATAAATATTTGAAAGGATGTCAGAAGGAAGAGGGAGCAGGCTTGTTTTCTGTGGTGCTGGAGACCAGGACACATAGTAATGGGTTCAAAATACAGGAAAGGAGATTCTACCTGAACATTAGGAAAAGCTCATGACCCTGAGAGCTGTTCAGCAGTGGAACCCTCTGCTTCATAGTATGTGGGAGGCTCCTTCTTTAGAGGCTTTTAAACAGAGGGTGGATAGGCATCTGTTGGGGTGCTTTGATTGTGCTTTTCTTGCACGGAAGAGGATTCAACTAGATGGCCCATGTGGACTCTTCCAATTGTATAATTCTATGATATTAACCACAACAACTCTGGGAAGGTTCTTCTATCTAGCCACATAAGTATCGTATGTCTTGTCAACTGCAGTTTTATGTGGAACTTCTAATCACCAAGGGCTTCACTAATTTTAGTGCAAATTTCCTTTACCTGCTGTTCTGGCATACCCTGAACTTGAAGGGCTTTGAGTGCCACTGTATCTTGTTGTGTCTCCTTCAGCTCTTACTTTCCCATTTCTCTAATTTCTGGTTCTTATTATAGATGTTGTCTGTGGGGAGACACTGTCACAAACAATGACACCCAGCTCTTGGCCAGACGTAATTCAATCATGGGCCAGTACAAAGCATAATTTCAAATATGGCATTGGACCAGTTGACCCAAGAAAAAACATCTATAGTTATACTCAGGTATGATTAGAAATATCATATGCTTCTTGCATGTTGCTGGCATGAGTTTGAGAGATTGATAACACTAATGAAATGATGGAAATTGTGTAAATATTTGATCTTCTGCATTTACTTTAGTAACTTCTCTACTATTCTACCTGTTGAATAAGTTATGTGAAAGATACATTGATTTATACAGTTCAAGAAATATAAACTATACGCTGTAGATCAAAAAGCTCTATTGGGAGTCTGGAATACACAGGGGTGGCTCAACCCATTACACAAAGTAAGCATTTGCAGTATAGTTGATTTTGCCCAGGGGCGCTCTTGAGGCGCTCTTGGGGGAAAATAGACCTTGACATATGTGAGTTGTAGTTACTGGGATGTATAGTTCACCTACAATCAAAGAGCATTCTGAACTCTACCAATGATGGAATTGAACCAAATATGGCACACAGAACTCCCACGACAAACAGAAAATATATATCAGTGATTGGTTGGGGGGGGGGGGCAAAATACTGTTTGCTTACCATTGAAAATTATCTAGGGCCACCTCTGGGAATACAGGATGTAAAAAAAATTGAATCTGCTCAAGAACAATGAATAACATCTAAATGAAGCATAACTAAATTAAAGAACAAGTCCCAACACACAGTAAATGTATAATCTTTTGAGACCAGAATAGATGTGAGAAGAGAAATAAAGGTGCATTGTGTTGAGGAGTCATACTTGATTCTGACTATATTTTGAAGGATTGTGTAGGGCTTGTTGTTGATGATGATGATGTTTTGGATATGGGCTATGCCTGAGCACATGAGTTTCTGCTGAATCAGACTTGTTTCGGGACAGAGTTAACAGCCACTAGGTCTATATATGTTTTTTGGAGCTTAGACTCTGGCATCTTTATTATGGTCTGAAAAGTGTGAAAAATAAATTGTAAGGATAGAGAATGAAGGATCTGCCATTGTCTGCTTCAATGTGTGTGCAATGTTTGTTTTCTTGCCAAAGGAACTTCACTGACAAGACTTGCAGAAAATGTAAACTGATGGTTGATGCACTGCAGTTATGTATTGAGATTCTTCAACACATCACGGAATAGAAGGACCTCTAGAATAGAACAGAGGGAGAATTGATCCTGCAAAAACAACAGGAAGAAACTGCCAAGTGAAAACGAAGAGGGCTGTAGCACTGAGGGAACTCACTGGAGGACAGCCACTGTGACGAGCAGAGTATGCATAAGACTAAGAAATCCCTTTCTATGTTTTCCTGACAATAATGGTGGTGAAAAGGAGCAAACAACAAGAGACACTGCATGCCAGAAGAATCAGGCCTAGCCACCAATGATAGCAAAAAGAAAAGAAAGGTGCTAGTTGTAGGAAATTCATTTATCAAAGGTATAAAGGAAACTGTGTGCCAGCAGGATAAGATGAAATGTATCCAGGATGTCACTGAGAAATTGTTGAAGGTCATCAAGGGCATAGAAGCATTGTCCCTTTCTTGTGATTCAAATGGGCACAAAAGCATTGCAAATAACACTTTTGATTACATCACCTTGGAGTATGAAGCCTCGGACAGGAAAGTAAAGAGCTTAGCAGCACATGTGATATTCTCACCTATTCTACCTATTAAAGAGAGAAGGATTGGCAGATATTGCAGGTGAATGACTGGTTATGTAGATAGTGTTGATGATTTGACTTCTGGGACCTTTATATTCACATCTTATATGAAGGATCACTAGCTAAAGCTAGGTTACACCCCACAAAGACTAGAAATAATGTCTTTAGCAAAAGTATGATGAACACCCTGAAAATGTTGTTCATCATACTTTGGAATAAACTGAAGACCCCCATCATTACAGCCATCATTACAAACCATTGGAAACCCAAACTAAGAAACATCAAGACTGGTTTGATGAAAATGATAATGAGATCCAACAGATAATTGATAAGAAAAGTAAAGCTTTCCAAATATGACAGAGAGACACTAACTGTGCTGTTAAGAAACTGATCTATTCCAGTGCAAAAGCTGAGGTCCAAAGAAGGACCAGAGAGCTCAAGAACATCTGGTAGACAAAAAGCACTTTGTAGATGGCCATGATACACGGGGATTCTTTAACGTCACAAAGGTCATCTATGGCCCAAGAAATCACCCTCTACATTTATCAGATGAAACCAAACTTCTGAAGGATAAAAAAAATCAATTGCACTGCTTTGGAAAGAGTATTACCACAACCTCCTTAACCATAGTTCCAGTGTAGCCAAAGAGGTTATCTCGCAAATACTGCAACAACAAACCAGGGATGAGCTTGCAGCACTGCCTAGTTTGGAAGAAGTCAGCAAAGTCATCATTCAACTAGAAAATAACAAAGCCAGAGGACGTGAACAACTCCCTGCTGAAATCTTTAAAGAGGGTGGGCCTGAGCTGACACAATAACTCCAACAGCTCATTGAAAAAGTGTGGGTGACTGAGAAAATCCCAGTAGACTTCAAAGATGCCACCACCATCACCCTTTCCAAAAATGGGGAAAGAACAGACAGTGGAAACTATCCTTTCTAACCTCCACTAGGAAAATCTTTGCAATAATCTTTGCAAACTACCTTCTACCAATCTCAAAAGACATCCCTCCAGAATGGCATCCCACCCCTCCAGAAGGACAGTGGATATGATCTTGTCTACATGACAGCTCCAAGAAAAATTCAGGGAACAAATTCAATCTCTCTACATGGCATTGATTGAACTTGCAAATGCATTCAACACAGTAAATTGCTTTGCTCTCTGGACCATCCTCCAAAAAATTGGATGCCCTGACAAATTTGTGAACATCCTGTGGCTCCTCCATGATGGCAACGGTCTTGGACAACAATGGTTCCCAAAGTGAAATCAGGTGTCAGAAAGGGATGTATTGTTGTTCCAACCTCATTCTTCTTCATCATCACTATGATACTGCACCTTGTTGAGGGGAAACTACCTACCAGCATGAAAATCATCTATTGGACTGAAAACCAAAATGAAGATCACAACAACATCTGTTATATAACTCCAGTATGCTGATGCTAATGTAGTATGTGCTCATTCAGAAGAAGATCTACAATCCACTCTAAACACCTTTGCAGAAGCATATGTAAAGCTCAGCCTCTCACTGAACATCGAGAAAACCAAAGTGCGCCTTTAGCAGGCACCAGCCAATCCCTCTGCAATGCCAGAAATACAGTTTAATGGTGTACATTAGAAAATATTGACCATTTCCACTACCTTGGCAGCAGCCACCTCTCTATAAAAGTCCACACTGACACTGAAATACAACACCATCTGAACTCTGCGAGTGCAGCATTTTCTCAAATAAAGTAGAGAGTGTTCAAGGCATTCGTAAGGAAACCAAGATGCTTGTTTATAAAGCTATTGTCCTCCCAAACCTGTTATAAGTCTTCAAAATGTGGACCATCTACAGATATCACACTCAACTTCTGGAAAGATTCCATCAGCGTTACCTCCAAAAAACCTTGCAAATCTCTTAGGAAGACAGACAAACAAATGTCAGTGTGCTGGAAGCAGCAAAGATCACCAGTAGGGCTGGGCGGTTTCGTTTCGTTAATTTGTAATTCGTTAAAAAATTCGTTAATTTTTCAATTACAAAACGATAACGAACCAGTCTGGAGCAATTTTTTTAAAAAATGAATTTTTAAATCGTTTCGTAAATGTTTTGTATTTCGTTATTGTATTTGTTTTGTTATCGTTTTGAGGTCGTTTCGTTATTATTTCCGCATGTCTGGGGCAAGTTTTATAATTGTTTTTGGTTTTCTAAGGGTTTTTATAGTTGTTTTTGGTTTAATTAAGCTTCAGAAGTTCCCCCTGTCCCATTTGGAGGTTTTTTAGCATATTGCGCGGTCGCGTCCGCCATTAACGAATCGATTCGTTATTGTTTCGGAAATCGATTCGTTATTGTTTTGTAATTTTTTTAACATTTACGAAATTTCGTAAATATCGAACTTTTTTAAAGGAAAATTTTGTAATTATTTTAAATAACGAAACGCAAAAACCCCCAAAAAACGAATCGATTTTAGAAACCAAATTTTTCCGTTGTTACCCAGGCCTAATCACCAGCACTGAAGCAACGATCTTTCACCATCAACCTCACTGGACTGGCCACGTTGTCCGAATGACAATCAGTCTCCCAAAGGAGTTACCATAGTCTCAGTTCAAGAATAGAAAATGAAATGTTGGTGGACAGGAAAAGAGATTTAAAGATGGGCTTAAAGCCAAATTTAAAAACTGTGGAATAGACACTGAGAATTGGGAAGCCCTGGCCCTTGAGCGCTCCAGCTGGAGGTCAGTTGTGACCAGCAATGCTGCAGAATTCGAGGAGGCACGAGTGGAGGGTGAAACGGAGAAATGTGTTGAGAGGAAGGTGTGTAAAGTCAACCCTGACCGGGACCACCTTCCATCTGGAAACCGATGTCCTCACTGTGAAAGAACATGCAGATCAGGAATAGGTCTCTACAGTCACCTACAGACCAGTCTGGTCTTTACCATTATTTTGAAGGACAGGATGGAGGGGGTTGATCTAATCTCATCAGAAAGGGAGTTCCATAGCTGGGAGGCAATCACTGAGAAGGTGGTGGGAGCAAGAGCAGGGTCTCCCCAGAAGATCTTAGTCTTTGTGGTGGTTCGTAAAGGGAGATGAGTTCGGACAGGTAAACTGGGCCGGGCCGTTTAGAGCCCTATAGACCAAAGCCAGCACTTTGAATTGTGTAATAGAGTTAATACACCTCTAGTTTGAGGTATCTATTTAAAATTATAGCTAATGCATCTCTAATTTAATACATATGTTTTCTATTATGCCTATAGCTCGTATGGTACAATTCGTATGAGGTTGGATGTGCGCTTGCTTATTGCAAAGGGAAGAATTACCCATACTTATATTCGTGCCATTTCTGCCCTAGGTAAGTTTTGAATCGATACTTCTAAAATCTACCCTGTTCAAAAGCTCCACAAACATTTTCTGACATGAGCTTGATACATCTATTTCAATAGAAGGAAATATATCTGCTAGTGCTAAGGTGTGCATTGGTGAATCCACTACTCTGAGAAATGAATGGTGAATGATAAATGAATGGAATACCTTTTATGGAAGGGTGGAGTAGAGGGATCCCTATCTCCTATCTGAAATTGCTGCTTTGTGCTATTTTCAGAAAGCAGTCTGGGAGTACAGTTCACTATACTGTATTGCATGAAATAGAGTCCAAATCATGCTAACTCCACTCATAGAGTCAAAAGGTTTTAAAGTGCCATGCTTATGGAATTCTATGTGTCATAAGCAACTGTGAAAATCTGGTCATAAACCTCAAAAGTTTTTTTTCTTGTGTAAACTCAAGCACTGAAGCTAAATTAAAAAATCTGCAAGTAAATTTCTATAAAACGAGTAGCATCTAAATAAAAGGCAAGAACTGGTAGTGCTATTTCATATTATGGAATTTCTAACCAATAATAATAATAATAATAATAATAATAATAATAATAATAATAATAATAATAATCTTTATTTAATACCCCGCCATCATCTCCCCAATGGGGACTTGGGGTGGCTTACATGAGGCCAAATCCAACCTAAACTTCAACTCCACCTTAACAGCTACGATAAGGTGAAAGACATCTCTTCAACCATGCACTTGGACTCAAGGAGGTGGCTGTTTCCAATCCATTCTCACAAGACAGCAAGGTTGTGATGAGGAATTGAAACAGGGTCCTGATTCTGATTGTCATAGTCTCCCTCACTGGTGGAAAGGAGTTAGAAATGTTTTCTTCCTTGCACCCAGATTGCCAACTGAATAAACAGAATTCACCCAATCCAGCTGTTGGGCTGTTAAAGTGGATTGGGGTAACATTTACAAATGTAGTCTTATGACTTTCTCACGCCAGCCTATTGCCTCATAAGAGCTGAACTCTTTAAGCAAATAGAAACATGCTTAGGATTAGCAACACCTTCCCGCAATTGCGCAATGCTAGCATTTTGTTAATGCAAATTCCTGCAATCGGTCTTTTGAACAGCCTTGCTTCCTACTGTAGTTTTACCTTCACGGTGTATGTGCACTGTGTCCCCCCTCCCTTTTTTCCCTTCCTTATCACCATCACCACCATTTTGGTGCAACTGCATAATTCTGCAGTTGAGGCATTCTCAAAAGACCTTTGTCCACTTACAATATCAGGATCTCGGTGGAAGGACCTGATTGCATAAGGAAGAGTAATAGAAAAGCAGCATTTTTGGTTCAATGATTAATTTTTCCCTTCAGGGAAAAGAGATGATCCAAAATTGATTCAAGCAATGTGTCACTATGAAGGAGAAAGGATGTTATGCAGTAAGCACCATTCAATGTCAATTTTATGTTGCCATGATTGCATCTTATCAGCCTCATATGAGAAGATAGTTCTTAGTGATAGTTCTTCCCTAGCATTGAGAAGTCACTATATAATCTGTTTACATGGTTGGTTATTATGCATGCTTTGTTTAAGAATTACACTCTTAATTATTAAAGAATGGTTTTGATCTGTGATTTCAGTGGGAACATTCAAGACAAAATAGCAACACCCTACAAAGAAGGCCCTCCCTGTGCAGACTGTCCTTCTGACTGTGATGATCGACTCTGTAGTAAGTTATTTTTCCTCTTTGGGAATCCTCTATCCCAGCTTGCTTCAATCTAGTTCCTCCCAGATAACACCATGCATCTTTCTGAACTGGGAGGTAATGGGGTTTTTAGTCCATGACATCCAGAAGACATTAGAGATTGGTCTACCACCTCTGAATTTCCTTTTCATAATTGACTAGAGTGTGACGCAATCCCTCTTGGAGATCATTATGACCTTTGACTTTCCAAAGTAGGTTTTTTTGTGTGTGTGTCAGGATCAACTTGAGAAAATTGGCCATCTGCACGGACATTGCCCAAGGAATGCCCCGATTTTTTTACCATCCTGTGAGAGGCTTTTCTCATGTCCCCGCATGGAAAACTGGAGCTGACAGATGAGAGCTCATCCAACTCCCCAGATTCAAACTGCCAACCTTTCGGTTGTGCCAGTTGATACCACTCTAGATAGTAAGGCTTGTTTCTTATATTTAACCTATCAGCAGATACTCAAATGTGGAGCAAGATAATAGACCATTTTACCCCTAACATCCTGGGCTTCTTTACACTTTCATGACTGTAGTGTTGTTTTACTATGTTCCTATCACACATGTAATATCTTGTGTCTTAACTAAAAAAAAGGGGCACAAGTCTACATGCATGCTATCATTGATAGCAAGAATAGAACAGTATGGCCATAGCACACATGATGCATCTGCGGTTAATTTCAAATGACTTCAAGAACATCTTTAAAGGAAAAGTATTACGAAAACACACTCAAGAATATATGGTAATAATGCCAAAAATTTTGTCCTCTAGGATAGAAAATTCAAAATGACACAGTTAGTTAATATTTTAGATCATTACAGGTAAATCAGTTCAACTGTTGCAAGGCTAAAATAATGCACTGTGTAAGCTGAACAGGAGAGATAAAAGTGGGATATAAATACATATAATTATAATAATGATATATCTAACTTTCATTTGTTTGCTTTCTTTCAGCCAATCCATGTCCATATAAAAACATTTACAGTGAATGTGAAACAATGAAAAACTTTTTTAGTTGTGAATCAAAAGTTATGGCTGAGAACTGTCCAGCCTTATGTAGTTGCCCAAATCAAATTGTATAAATATACGTACGTGAACACCACAAAGGTCTTCTTAAAGCAACAGGACTTCACCAAGAAGGATGAAAATTGAGGATTTTTTTTTAAAAAATCTTTAAATAGCAAAAAGTAAGGAGCTGAAAATTGTTTTAATGTGTTTTGTTGGTTATAAAGTTACAGTTAAGAAAAAAAGATCTTTCACATCAAACACAAGAAAACATGTTGCCGTAAATTAAAGTTACACCTATCACTTTTCTTGCAGATGCATACTGTAACAGTAATTGTATCTATGCAAATACAAATGTATAGATATGAGCAATTTGTCATACTATGCATTAAAAGATATACCCAGAATTGTTGTGTGTACCAATCTGATATTCATCAGGACTTCATTTTTATTCCATAAGTTCATCTAATTTTTTTCCTCTAGAGTGATTTGTGCTGATGGTTTTTTATACAAAGCACTATTTGGAACTTTTTTCAGCAAGGCATACAAATATGCTCCCAATCACATATTTCCAGTTCTTTATTCTAATCATGGGGAAATAAATAGTTAATAGGAGACTGTTGAATCTCAAACAGTTTATAGTTGAATGCACCCATGTTCCTACATTAGCTTGATTTGGAAGAAAGGGAAGAAACTACGGTCTCACCTCAAAGCTGGTGCAATCAAACCAGACAATGAATGGCCATTACCACATCTTATACAGGGTGCAGCAGCATAACTTGTTTTTCAAAACTTAATAAAACCCATTGTATGAATCAGAAAAAAAATTATAATGTAGGCGCATACCTAAAGTTTTGTTTTATGTAGTTTTGAAGATCAAATTTAGGTAGGAGATATCCCCCATTCTCCATTCTCCATACACTGAGTAAACCGATTTCTGGCATTTGTCATGACTCTTGCCAGCATAGCAGGCGTTATGTTGGCACTTTCTTCCTGGATGTTGGTCTTCAAATGTTGTAGGCTCCTTGGACGGTTCACATAAACACGGGATTTCAAAAAAAAAACCATAGAAAAAAATCACAAGGGGCTAAGTCTGGATAGCGGGCCGGCCACTCCAAATCCCCCCTAATTGAGATGAGGCGCTCTGGGAAACAGCCATCGATGCTCTTGAATTGTGTGCAGTTGCACCATCTTGTTGGAACCAAATGTCCCCTAAGTCCAACCCGTCTAGCTGTGGGGAAAAAATTCCTTTAACATATTTACATACCAGCCCGAATTCACTGTCACTGCAACTTCATTTTCCTCAAAGAACCAGGGACCAATAATTCCAGCTGAGGAAATTGTACACCACACAGTGATTTTAGGTGAATGCAAAGGCCTTTGATGCAATTCTCGAGGATTGTTGTCAGCCCAGTAGTGCATGTTTTGTTTGTTGATGGATTAACACAAATGAAAATGGGCTTCATCACTAAAAAAAAAATAGCGTCCTCAGGAACAACTTTGAGAAGAACCTCACACGCATTCCTCTGAGAATTAAAGTCACGTTCAGAAAGTTCCTGCACAATCGCCATCTTGTAAGGATGGAAATGAAGATCATCATGAAGAATTTTCCTCACAGAATGATCAGAAAGTCCAAGGGCAGACGCATGTTTGCGCGCAGAATGCCGTGATGATTGCAACATTGAATCTCTCACTGCCTCAATATTCTCAGGTGAACTAATGGGCTGAGGGACTCCAGCTCTTCGTCTTATTACACTTGCAGTTTGTCTGAATATAGTGACACACGTCACAATTGATTTCCGGTCCAGGACAGGGGCCAATGGGGCTAAATGAAAGTGATTCCGAAAGGCGCGCTGGGTTGCGATCACAGAACATCCGCTCGAAAAGTAGGCTTCAATGGCAAAAGCACACTTCTCACTGTTCCAATGCATGATGGCAACTGAACTGTGTCAGGACAAAACTTTATACTCCCACCTCTTGAACGAGACCACTAGGGCTCCGCTACGTCTTCAACCGACTGAATTGCGTGCATTTTTAAAAAGGAAGTTATGCTGCCGCACCCTGTAGCTTTTTATAAAACTTGAAAATTACTTTGGAATTTGCTATGAAGTCAGGTGTTTTTTCAGTATGGATGGGTAGATCAAGTTTAATTTGGGTCAATTCAGTTGTCCAAAAGTCAAAAGTACCCCCTGGAACAGGTCAATGCTGGCAGGCAATGCCTTTTTCTGTATGGAAGAATCCTCTAAGCCAGGGGTCTTCAAACTTTTTAAACAGGGGGCCAGGTCACAGTCCCTCAAACTGAAGGAGGGCCGGATTATAATTTGGAAAAAAAAAAGAATGAATTCCTATGCACATTGCACATATCTTATTTGTAGTGCAAAAAAAAAAACCTAAAAACAATACAATAATTAAAATGAAGAACAATTTCAACAAATATAAAATTATTAGTTATTCAATGGGAAGTGTGGGCCTACTTTTGGCTGATAAGATAAGATTGTTGTTGTTGTGTGCTTTCAAGTCGTTTCAGACTTAGGTTGACCCTGAGCGAAGGCCGGATAAATTACCTTGGAGGGCCGCATCCGGCCCCCGGACCATAGTTTGAGGACCCCTGCTCTAAGCTGTAAAGCTTTTTCACTTTTTTCTGTGAAATGGCTGGGTTTGGCTAGGGAAAAGGTGACAAGTAGCAAGGTAGTAACACGATGTCAAATCACTTTGATTAGTGTGACACTAACAAAATGAATCCAGGGCTGCTTTGGGGAAAATTTATCAGAGTTGCATCTGGATTATTTGTGTTGACACTGGTCTTATCACACTAGAGCAGGCATGAGCAAACTTCAGCACTCCAGGTATTTTAGACTTCAACTCTCAGAAATCCCAGCCAGTTTATTGGCTGTTGAAATTGTGGGAGCTGAATCCAAAACACCTGAAGGGCCAAAGGTTGTCCGTGTCTGCTCTAAAGCTTAAGAGTTAGTAAAAAGTATCTATTCCATATGATATCCTATTATTGCTTCCAGCAATAATAGTTGGCACTACTTTAGAACACTGGTCTTATCACAGATGAGAAACTAATACATTCATGTGAAGGACACACAGTCCCCATTACATTGCAGTAAAGTAAAATGAAGTGCCAACAATTCTTACATGACATCGCTTCAGGGGGAAAATGCTTGTAAGAAGAAGGTATCCATCTATTTTTTTTAGAAAAAGTTGTGAACTTGCATTGCTTTAGAATGAATAATTCAGCACAAAAAATGTCAGACATGATATTGCTATAAAAAAAATTGAAGGGAACACAAATCAGACTCTTTGTTTCTTTAGGAAGGCAGTTGAATGTGTTTACACATTGTGTTTCTCTGAATATTCCAATTTCTTTCAAAAAACAGTTGAATCTCCTAGTATATTGCATTATTTGTTTGAGAAAGGAGTCATTGCTTTAGAAAGAGAATGAAATGTATAAAACTACACTATTGTCATGATTTAGAAATACAGATTTCTACTAGATAGATAGATAGATAGATAGATAGTAGGCCTGTCGGTTTTTGTTCGTTATTTCGTTATTTCGTTAATGTTTTGTTATTTTTATTAATAACAGAACGATATCAAAACATACTTTTAAACCCGGAAGGGTTTAAAAATATCGAAACAGCAGCCCCATATATTTTAGGAGCTTCAGCTCCTTTCGTTAATAAGATGGAGGCTGCTGGTGCCATTCCCCTCTTTCCCGGCCTGGGCTGCTCTCCCCGCCCTCTTTCCCCTCTCCCCGTTTTCCAACACTCCTCCTCCTCCTGCATAGTGAGTGAAGTACTGTAAGGGGCGGCTGAAGCAACTTACGTGCCGAAAGGAGAGGGAGAGAGAAAAACAGTGTGCTGTCTCTTTAAGGCAGGAGCAGCACATCTCGGGAGAAAGAATCCTCTCCAGCCCCGGCGCGGCGCGCGCTTGGTAATGGTTGCTCTTTTTTTCTCCTCAGCTAAACCCCTCTGTTCCAGGAGCTCATATCTTATAGCAGGCATCCTCAGAGGTTTGTTGGAAACTAGGCAAGTAGGGTTTATATCCCTGTGAAATAACGTCCAGGGTGGGAGAAAGAACCCTTGTCTGTTGGAGGCAATTGTGAATGCTGCCATTGGCCACCTTGATTAGCATTGAATGGCCTCGCAGCTTCAAAGCCTGGCTGTAGAAGGTCCAGGGTGGGAGAAAGAACTCTTGTCTGTTGGAGGCAAGTGTGAATGTTGCCATTGGACAGCTTGATTGGGATTAAATGGCCTTGTAGCTTCAAAGTCTGGCTGTAGAAGGTCCAGGGTGGGAGAAAGAACCCTTGTCTGTTGGAGGCAATTGTGAATGCTGCCATTGGCCACCTTGATTAGCATTGAATGGCCTCGCAGCTTCAAAGCCTGGCTGTAGAAGGTCCAGGGTGGGAGAAAGAACTCTTGTATGTTGGAGGCAAGTGTGAATGTTGCAGTTGGCCACCTTGATAAGCATTGAATGGCCTTGCAGCTTCAAAGCCTGGCTGTGGAAGGTCCAGGGTGGGAGAAAGAACCCTTGTCTGTTGGAGGCAATTGTGAATGCTGCCATTGGCCACCTTGATTAGCATTGAATGGCCTCGCAGCTTCAAAGCCTGGCTGTAGAAGGTCCAGGGTGGGAGAAAGAACTCTTGTCTGTTGGAGGCAAGTGTGAATGTTGCCATTGGACAGCTTGATTGGGATTAAATGGCCTTGTAGCTTCAAAGTCTGGCTGTGAAGGTCCAGGGTGGGAGAAAGAACCCTTGTCTGTTGGAGGCAATTGTGAATGCTGCCATTGGCCACCTTGATTAGCATTGAATGGCCTCGCAGCTTCAAAGCCTGGCTGTAGGAATGTCCAGGGTGGGAGAAAGAACTCTTGTCTGTTGGAGGCAAGTCTGAATGTTGCCATTGGCCAGCTTGATTAGCATTGAATGGCCTTGTAGCTTCAAAGCGCTGTGGTCCAGGGTGGGAGAAAGAACCCTTGTCTGTTGGAGGCAATTGTGAATGCTGCCATTGGCCACCTTGATTAGCATTGAATGGCCTCGCAGCTTCAAAGCCTGGCTGTAGAAGGTCCAGGGTGG